TGTGGACCTCCCTATGACCCCAGGCCACTTCTCCATTCTCCCTTGGCCATGTGGTCCAAGTCCCTGGAATTCTATTACCTCATAGACTACTTGGCCACTCCTAGATCCCTCCCATGGTCTTTCTATACATAAGGTCCATCTTGTCTCCATTAATATGCTTATATTCTTATAATCAAGCCACTGCTCAGATTCCTAAAATCTAGCCACTGCTGAGATTCTTAAAATCTAGCCACTGATTAGACTCTTATAATCTAGCCGATAGCTTACTAATGTTCAGATTCCTTAAGAGTTTGCCCGATACGATGGATGTTCTAATAAACCTTGTCTTTGGCTGGGAAAAAAAAAAAGGTGTAGTAGGAGTTAACTTTGACAAGGAGGATTATGCCATCTTCTGAAACTAGAGGGGGAAAAGGGAGTTGAGATATTGAGAAGTTAAATGGAGTAGAGAAAAGGGAGTTGAAAGTGATCCCATCAGATGGTGTCAGGATCTGTGAAGTAGAAGGTGAAGTCATCTGTTGGGAGACAAGATAGTGGAACCAGGAGCCTGAGTAGAAGAGAGGTTTAGAATAGACATTGGAGTAAATGTGACAAAAATTAGAGTTGGGGCACTTCCATCTCTAGACCCTCTAAGATCAAAGTAGAAAGAAGAAATGCTCTGTTCATGACCATAAGAATACAGTAGCAGGTTAGAAGACATAAAGTTGCCAAATAGTGGAGGACTCTATGGTATAGCTACTAAGGCATATATTCCAAGGAGGTCAGAGGAAGAAAGGTTGCATATACACAAAATTATGTATAGTAGCATTTTATGTGGTAGCAAAGAACTAGAAACAAGGTGGGTGTCCATCGATTGAGGCATGGTTGAACAAACTATGGTATATAGATAACTAAATATGTGAAGAATTCTGAGAAACTGAGGAGGACTTATTTGAACTGATGCAAATCAAACTAAGCAGAACCAGGTTAACAACTTACACAACAATGTACAGGAAAACAACAATGAAAGACTTAGGAACTCTGATCAGTGCAGGGACCAACAGTGACTTCAGTGCATTGACAATAGTGAAGTATGCCTCCTGACTGGAACTAGAAAGATGATGGAACACAAGTTAACTACATATACATTGTCAGAAATAGCCAATGCACTGATCTATTTTGCATAATCGTGTTTCTTTATTAATAAGGAAGAATTCTATTGGGAGAAGGGAGGATTATTGGGAAATGGCTGTAATTTTTTAAGAAAGCATGAATAAAAAAAATTTATTTAACTCACTTGTCAAGTCAACAAGCATTTATTAAGTGCCTACCATGGCCAGGCACTATATTGGATTACAAATCTGTGACAAAAAGTTGTAAAACCCAATTTGTCTCATGAGACTTGTCTAAGGTTTTGTTCCCAGCCTGCTTCTTACTAGTTTCTGGTGAAGAGGATATCAAGACTTTTGAGTTTCATCAGAGGATGTCCTATGTGTTTCTACCAAGGGCTTTGCAATCTATTAAAGTGTAAATGAATGCCGTGGTACACGCTTCACCCCTACTCTGTATAAGTAGTAGAGTGAAAATTAAGGAGAAGGGAAAACATGAGAAAGACTCTTTGGTAATGGTGGAATGAGCAGCAGGAGGCACGGACAGGCCGGTTAGAGGTGTCTCAAAAAACCATAGACAAGGAAGCCAAAGAAAGTCTCTGTCCCAGAGAGATTCTTGCACAACTACTTTCTATTCCTAGCTGAAAACAACACCCACTCCTTTTCTCACCTGGTTGCAAGTGTTTCCTGTTTAGGAAGCACCCCAAAGCAATAGCTAACACACAGCAGCCAGGCTGCCAGTCTCAGTGCCAGTGTTTCCCGTTAGCTTGAAGGTGTTTCTACCCAGAATTGCCAATGTTAAAGGGGAAGCAATGTCAAAAAGTGACCACTGCAGCTTGCCTGCTGAAGACAACAAAACAATTCTAGGTCATTTGTAGTAGCTATTCAGAAAATGTTGTCCCTTGAGAAGTTTCTTTAGAAGTTTCTGTCACTGGAATGTTATTGTAATCATAAGAAAAGATCAACATAAGGAATACAGAGAAATATGGCAAGGTTTTTATCATCTTATGCAGAATGAAGAAAGTAGAACCAAGAGAATTCACACAATAATATAACACTCCAAAAGTGACTGAGTTTCTAATGAATTGGGTTTTTTTAAAAAATGCTATTGACTTTTTTTTTTGTTTCATCATCATCTTCATTTCCAGATATAATCCTTACTCCCCAGATAGATTGTCCCATGGAACAAAGAATAAAAGGGAGAAAGAAAAAACCAGTTCGGCAGAATTAATTAATAGATCAATTGAGTCCAACAGTATAGCCGATGATTCACTCCCAGGGCTTCCTACTTCTGCAAAGGGAGGGGAGGGTGCATGTTCTCTTCCTGCCTTCAAGTTTGGTTATTAAATTACACATTTTTTGTGGTTGTTATTATTCCTTCCATTTACACTGCTGTAGTCATTGTGTGGGTAGATTTCTGGGTTCTACATATGTGGCTCAGCATCAGTTCATGAGAGTCTTTGCATGTTTCTCCTTATTAATTGTATTCATAGTTTCTTTCAGCATAATAATATTCCATTGCCCCTGCCCTGGAACATCCTACCAACACTGCTTCCCCCCCAAGGTCTGCCCCTCTTCTTCCAGGAACTCCAAGTGAGCTCCTCCTAGACTGTGAAGGGACCGGGCAGGTCTTCCTTCATTCCCCTCCTGACCCTGCTTCTGACCTTCTGGACTCCAAAATCATATTTTCATTGGGAGGCATCTTTTCAGCTCCTTACTGTACGTGATCCTCTCCCACTAGAATGTAAGGTCTTTGAGAGCAGAGACTGTAGTTCTTTTGAATTGTATTTGTATCCCCAGCGAATAGCACAATGCCTGGCACGCAGTAAATAAAAAATAATTTCCTTTCCTTCCTTTCTTCCTTCTTCTCTCTTCTCCCTTTTCTTCCTCCTTCCCCTTCTTCCTTTCTTCTGTCCTTCTTTCCTACCTGTCTTCCTCCTTCCCTTTCTTCCTTCCTCCCTCCCTCCCTTTCTTCCTTCTTCCCTCCTTTCCTTCATTCCTTCTTTCCCTCTTCCCTCCCTTTTTTCCTTTTTTTCTGTCTTTCTTTCCTTCCTATCTTCCTCCCTCCTCTTCTTCCTTCCTCACTCCTTTTTTCCCTTCCTTCCATCTTTCCTTTTCTCCCTCCCTTCTTTCCTTCCTCCCTTCTTTCCTTCCTTCCTCCTTCCCTTTCTTCCTTCTTTCCCATTCATATACCACAATTTGTTTAGCCTTTCACCAGCTGGCTGGTATCCACTTTGTTTCCAGTTCTTTGCTACTACAAAAAGTGCTGCCATAAATATTTTAGAACATATGTCTTTCTTTTCTATCTTTGTACTCTTTAAGGGTCCATGCCTAGCAGTGGGATTACTGGGTCAAAAGGATATGGATCTTTTAGTCCCCTTCACAATTCCAAATCACTTTGATGAATGTGGACAAATGATTGAACCATGATGATGGGAGCAATTCACAGTTCCACCAACAATATATCAGTGTACCTCCTTTTCCACAATACTTTCAAGACTGACTAGTTCAGGGGTGGGAAACCTGCAGCCTTATGCTGAGTACATGGCCTTCTAGTTCCTTGGGTGCAGCCTTTTGACTGAGTACAAGTTTTACAGAACAGATCCTTTTATTAAGGGGATTTGTTCTGTGAAATTTAGATTTAGTCAAAAGGCTGCACTTGAGGACCTAGAGGGCCACATGTGGCCTTGAGGCTGCAGGCTCCCCACTCCTGGACGAGTTTCATCTTTTGTCACTTTTTGCTAATTTACCAAGCATGCTGTGGAACCTCAGAGTCATTTTGATGTGTATTTCTCTAATTATTAATGATTTGAGCAATGTTTCATACATTCAGGCATAGTTTATAAATGGGTTTGAGAGTCATTTGTTCATATCCTTATCCATTGGGAAACGGCTCTTGGTTTTCTGTATTTGTGTTAGTTTCTTACATATCTTGGATAGTTGGTCCTAAGTAGACATATTTTATACAAATATCCCCCACCCCCAAATTGATGGCTTCCCTTCTTATCCTAGTTGCATTGATTTTGTTTATGCAAAAGGTTTTCAATTTCATATGATCAAAATCTACTTTACCTTTTGCGATTAACTCTCATGAACTATAATGAAAAAGCTCAGTTTTAGAGAAATAATAATGAAACACAGTTACCTTCCTCCTCTCAGTAGAGAAGTGAGGTCTAGGTATATGGAATGCTGGATATACACTATCATGATGTTCCTTAGATTTGCTTAATTTTTTTTTTTTTTTTTTTTTGTTACAAGGAAGGGTTCTGAGTAGGATGGGGCAGAGTTGAGGGGATGACTAAGCCATGAAAACAAAATGCAATAACAAGCTTCTTTTAAGAAAAGAAGTTGCTGTTGTCCTATTCCTATCCATGATTGTGCTGACTGCTCAAATAAGAATGTATGAAAATACTTTGAAAAGTATGAAATGCTACAATTGTGTAGTACTGCTATTGTTTCTTTCTCATTTTCTGAAAGTGTCAGGTCCTTTTTTGTCATTAAAAGGAAAGTTCAAACATTGCTGCTAACCCATAGGCCACCAGAACTAACACCCAGGCAGAATGTGATTTTAATCCGCTCTTCAGTGTTTCTCTGGGCTAAGGAATGTAGCAAAACTGATGATTTTTTTTATCCATAATGCTAGATCAAAGAAAATGAACATTTCTTTTTTTCCTGCAAGGATCCTTTAAGTCATTTAAATTTCTCATGAGCACACAAAGGACAGTATGTAGATGGCATTCAGAAATGGGGGATTAATAGAAAACCACATCAAAGAGAATTAGGCCAAGCCAAAACCCAGCTTCATGATTACAGAAGCCTGCTGGGTGTGATATATATTTCTTGCTCCAAGATCTTTGTCTTTGGCCAATAATGGGGCATTATTGTCAAAGAAACTAAAAATGGAAGGGAGGTTACCGTATCGTGTCGGCCAATTTTGGCTCTCTTGATGCTTTGTTGTAGATTCTCTTTCTTCTCATTCCCCTCTGAAAACTGGAGGAGGAAATAAAACAAAACATAAACAAGAGTAACTTACCAACTGAACCACAAAGCATTAGCTTACAAGGATTTTGTTGCATCCAGAGCCCAGTAAAATCAAAGATGGCAATGGGCCCTCCTATCATTAAGAAAAAGTGAGGAAGCATGGCTCCTTGAGGCTTCCTGAATATATCTACTTCCAGGGTCTATGATTCTGTCAACATGGCTATTCCTTCCACCAACCCCTCTGTGTCTCAGTAGACTGTGGTATCCAAAAGTTGCTGTGGCTGCAAAATTCATGGGGGCACCATGCAAAGAGAGCTAGAAGTGGCATCAGAGGAGCTGGGTTTGCATCTTTGCTTTGCCACTTCCTATCTACGTGACCTTGGGGGAATGACTTCACCACTCTATGGACCTTGATTTCCTCATCAGTAAAATGAGGTGTTAGACTACATGATCTTATGATCCTATCATCTTGTGGACAACCTTTTGATAAGTTGCTCACCGCTTAGCTATGATGGCCCATGGAAAGACAAAGTCTATCAAGAGCTACTTACTAGCTGTGTAATCTTAGGCAATCCCTACACTTTTCTGAGCCTTAGTGTCCCCATCTGTAAAATGACTCAGTAGAACTAGATGATATCTAATGTTTCTGAGAGTTCTAAATTTATGATTCTGTGACTTGCCAGAACATGTGTTTCATTGCCTTAAGCTTTCATGAACCCAGAGCTACTTCTCTGCCACAAGAAGATAATAAAGGAAGATTTTAGAAGAGAAGAATGAAAAAAAAATGTTTTAAAATATTTTCTTCTTGTACCACTTTCATTCTTTTCTGAGTCTTCACTCAGCAGCTTTCTTCAAGTAACTTGAGATGTTCTATTATTCCAATTTGATGTTTATATGAACTGTGATGATTTGGGGGGAAGAAATTTTTATACAACTTCAATTCATGTCTTTTTTCCTTTGGTTTTGAAAGACTAAATTTACTTTCTTCAATTTACTTTCACTGGGTCTAGGGACAATCAGCCATTTCAGCCATCACACAATAATGAAGTTGGGCCTTCTATCTCAACTATTTACAAAGTGGGATAACCAGTTAATAAAATGATATGACTGATTGAACACCAATACTGCTAATATAGTTGCCATCCTTTCTCAGGTCAGATAGGGCTGTAGAATGCCTTCTTAAAAAAAAACTCAAAAAACAACACATTGAATTGATTTAGCCTAAAGAAGAATTCTATATCCTTTACTCATGATAGTTAGCTGACAGGTGGGCCCAGGGCGCTGTTGGTCACTGACATCAGACAACAAGCATTCACAAAGTGAGTGAATAGAGTGATGGACCTGGAGTCAGGAAGAACTGAGTTCCAATCCTACCTCAGACGTGAACTAGCAGTATGACAAGGCACTTAACCTCTGTCTGCCTCAGTATATTCATCTGTAAAATAAGGATAATAATAACATCTACCTCATAGGATTGTTATGAGGATCAATTTATGGTGCTTTACAAACCTTAAAGTATGATACTATTATTATTATTATCATCATTATTCTTAACAACAATGTGTGCTGGTAGCCCCAGGCTTTTTTCTGTCTTAGTCCAACTATTATGCTGGCCTACAGATAAAAGAATACAAAGGCACATAGGCAAATGAAGCAAAAATGTAGGTGTTTCTAAGAGTTATCAGATCTTGCAGCAAGCAAGCTAACAGGAAGGCCAAGAAAAATAGATCAAGAATCTAGAGCTAGAAGGAAACTTATCTTGTCCAACAACTTCATTCTATCTATTTTTTTAATTTAATTGATTGCTTTTTTGTTGTTTCTATATCATTGTCATTGTCATGACCAATACCTCTCCCCACACATCAGAGCCTTCTCTTGTAAAATTAAGAAATGATTAAATAAAACAAACATGACGTGTCAGCCATGTTGGACAGCCTATGTAAATATGCTTTATCCATAGTCTACTCTCTTTATACAGAGAGGAGAGAAATAACTTCCAGCATTCATTGAATAGGCAGCATGCCACAAGGTAAAGCATGATGGATGTGAAGTCAGAGGACTTGGGTTCTAATTCTCACTCTGCCACTTTTATAGCCTTCAAAACCTTGGGTAAGACAGCTAACATCCCTGTGCCTCAGTTTCCTCATTTACATAATGAGGGTGTTGGATTAGATACTGACTATTGTCCTTTTCAGCCCTAAATCTATGATCATGTGATGACCCTATTAATATTATCTGGGATCAATACTGGCTATTGGGCTCATTTGAAGTCTGATGTCTTTTACATTTTCAATTCGTTTTATTTTTAAATTTTTGTTAATGTATTTTGTTTTTATATTACATTTACAGGTTACTCCCACTTCTCGAGGTCTCTTGAAACAAAATAAAACTATTAAGTAAAACTAATATAGTAACCTTATCTCAAAGCACATGCAATATTTCACATATATAGTAGCCTCCTCTACCTCCCACTTCTCTAGTTCAAAAAACATTTTTTTTTAAATCTATTTTCTCTCCTTCCTTCCCTTACCCCCTTGGAAAAAGAAAAAGAGAAATTTTTTGGAACAAAAATGCAGAGTCAAGCAAAACAAAATCTTTCAACGACTGCATTCTACATAGGTAGTTAGGTAGATATGTACTTATCTAATGTATATGTACATTATCTACCTACCTATCTGTGTAGTACATATACATATCTATCATCTATCTATATACTTATTTATATCTCATTCTACCTTTCTATAGTGGATAGCATTATATCTCTCACCTTTCTATAATGGATATTATGTTTTATCAACGCTGGATCATGAAAGGTCATTGTATTGATCATAGTTTTTAGAGCTTGCAAAATTTTTATTTGTAGTGTTTTATCATATAAACTGTTCTCCTGGTTCTGCTTATTTCATTCTTTATCAGATTAAAAAATTCTTCAAAATTCTTCATTTTTTAAAATAATATTGATGTCAAAATATAAATTGTTCTTCTGATTTTGCTCACTTCACCTTGCATCAGTTCATGTAAGTCTTTCCATCTGTTTTAAAATCATCTATTTTCTCATTTGTTACACCACAACAGTACTCCATCACAATCCACAAAAATCATTAGCACTTTTACAGAATATTGATAAAACCCAGCAAAAAGAGATATTTCATTTAAATTACTACAGAATGCATAAAATACTTCTTCAAAGATACATGCAAAAACTATTTAAATATAATAATAATAGCTAACATTTATAGAGCACTTACTAAGCAATTTACAATTATTATTATCTCATTTGATGCTCACAACCCTGGGAGGTGGGTGCTATTATTATCCCCATTTTCTAGATGAGGAAACTGAAACAAACAGACGTTATCTGACTTACTCAGGGTCCCAGAGCTAGTAAGCATCGAAGGCTGCATTTGAACTCAGGTCTTCCTGACTTCAGGCCTGGTACCACCTACCTACCTACCTATATAAACAACCGTTTATTAAAATAAAGATAGACCTAAATAATCAGGAAATATTAATTGCTCACAGGTAGGATAAGCCAAAATAATAACAATGGCAATGCTAACTAAACTGATTTACTTATTCGATGTCATACCAAACAAACTTTTTAAAACTAGCAAAAAAAAGTTCAAAAGGAAGAAAAAAGTCAAGAATCTCAAGAAAAATAATGAAAGGAAATGGGAAGGAAGGGAGCCTACTAATGCCAAATCTTAAGCTACACTATAAAGCAGTAAATATTAAAATAATTGGGTGCTGATTAAATTGATCAGTGGAATAGAATAGGTACACAACACAAAGAAGCAAATTCAATATTCTAGTTCAACAAACAGGCAGGTAGGTGGCACAGTGGATAAAGTGCTGGGCCTGGAGTCAGGAAGACTCAACTTCCTGAGTTCAAATCTGGCCTCAGATACTTACTGGCTGTGTGACCCTGAATAAGTCACTTAACCCTGTTTGCCTCAGTTTCCTCATCTGTAAAATGAGTTGGAGAAGGAAATGGCAAACCATTCCAGCATCTTTACTAAGAAAACCCCAAATGGGGTCGTAAAGAGTCAGATGCGACTGAAAATGAAATAACAACAACAATTCAATAAACACCATTACCCCAGATACTGGGATAATGGTTCAATTCAATTCTGCTTGGAAGTTACTTTCCTATATTGTACCCATTCTGGAGACTTCAAGTTCTATGAGTGTGTGGCACTTCACTAGTACTCAGAATGAGCAATGAAGGAAGTTCTCATTGCTTGGAAAAAATATGGTAAAGGACATTTCACATTTATGTGCTCGGTACTTGGAATTGGTTACATCGGCTGCCAAATTTCTTTAATCTGTTACACATCTACTTAGGTTATTTATTTAAGTATTTTCTTTTATCACCACAGTGATCAGTCTAAACCAGAGGTTCCCAATGTGGGAGATACCACCTCCTGGAGGGCGCTGGAATGTTTGAGGGGGGCAGTAGTAGCCTTCCTTGGGGTGCAATTGGGGGGTGGTGATTTTCATATTTTCATAAGGAAAGAAGAGAAGATAAGAAAAATTTTGAAAAACCATTTGTACATGTTTTATCTGTTGTGGAACTGAGTTAAAGTTGTAGTGATTACATTATTTTCCAAATAAACACAGAAAATGGAAGTTATAATCTGATCAGCGGTCAAGTACACCAACAGGTCTTAACAAGCAAGTGTTGGGGGCAGCTAGGTGGCGCAGTGGATAGAGCACCGGCCCTGGATTCAGGAGGACCTGAGTTCAAATGTGGCCTCAGACACATAACACTTACTAGCTGTGTGACCCTGGGCAAGTCACTTAACCCCATTGCCTAGCTAAAAAAAAAAAAACAAGCAAGGGTGGTTGGTGAACCTGTTGCGCATTGTCAGGAAATTCAGCATGCATTGGCAGGAATATGTGCATGTAATGACTTATTTACAATACGATACTATATGGTTACATGACACAACATGGCATCATCAAAATTTCAATGTAGGAAAAAAAATCCCACAAATTTACAACAAATA